TGGGGGGGGGGGGGTATTTGGGGGAGTTTTTTCTCTGTGATGTCAAAACACAAGGGCAACGACTACAACGTGAACCGCGGTGCGCATCATGAAGGGGGAAACATCCTCCACGCTGTCTTATCTCGCCCTGGGTGCCATCGGAGGCAGACGGTAGGCAGGATTCTGCTACTTCCAATCCAAATATCGTTGCTTTGTTTTTTCGATTCCCGCGGTTGAGCGCGGCCCGACTACGATGCGCTATTCCTCCGAGGCTGTTGCTAGACCAGGGAGGGTATCGAGCCATGTGTCCCTTCCGGGAACAGACGAACGAAACAAGTACGAGTAGGCTTGTGCGGCCTTTTCGCCTAGACGGCACCAGGAAGTGCTATCGTACGTGAACATGCTTCTTACCTTGCCGGCTGGGTCGCGGACCACAAGGCGTCTCGAACATCGCCGGCAGGGTGTAGCGCTTTGGAAGGGTAAGCGCATCGAAGGTTACGCAAAGTTGTTTTTACAGTGAGGTACACGGGACGCTTGGCATCGAAGAGGCAAAAGTCGGTTCGAGCATCAGCAGGTCGTTTAGAACGACAAGTTTTCCTCCTCCGCCCTCCCCCCCGCCCCCACGAAGAACACATCTACTCGGACAAGTCTCTTTCGAAACTATTTAGAACTCAACGGGTATAACAAGTGATGACAACGGGTGGGGACATAACACAAACTGACGGGATACATAGTTATTTTCTTAAACTGAATATATTGCGGTTTTTCAGCACAAAGGAAGGCGGTGAGTTTGAAGGGGAAGTCTTCTCTCCCTCACGCTTCTCTCTCTCCTGTTCCCGTAAGTACGTGTGTGCATGCATGACAATGCCGCCGCCGCGCCGCCGCCGCCGCTCTTGCGGTGCGTGTGTTCATCAGGTGCCCGTGTCCCTGAGGAACATGATCGGCCGCTCCTTCGCCACAGAGGATGCCCAAGACCTCATCAGGGCGGCCGTCATCAACCTGTTCGAGATCCTGGAAAGCGAGGTCGAGTCTAACTTGGAGGAGGTGAGCGTACGTGGCGGACGGGCGGGCGGGCGGGCGGGCGGGCGGGCCCCGGTCTCGATGCCGATCCTGCTCCTCTGGTCTCGCACGGCATGCATACGATAGCTAAAAACTCAAACCTCCACAAGTGTGCCCAAGGGCGACCCACCCTTGCCCACCCCCTCCTACTGAACTGATTTCGATAGGACAGGGAAACGTATTTATTTTAGCGACCTTTGGCAAAGTAGGGAGGGCCATCGGCGATCCGTTCTGTGGGAACAGTGTCTCGAGAACGCGTGTGGTCAAATGGTCTTAACAGCTAAGCATGCAAAACATGAGTACTCTCCCCCCCCCCCCCCCTGGATGCAGCGCACCCTCCATGCGACTCGCCGAATACCTACCTCACGGCGCTTCGCCCTTGGTGATGTGATAGCCTGATCCATCCGTAGAAAACCCGGCATATTTATTGCTCCGTTCCGGCTGTGCAGGGATGCGAGCAGGTCAAGGGTCTATCACGACTACGTCATGCACGGCTATGAGTACACTCCCCCACTCTACCACCCCATGGTGTGGATGCGTGCGAAGTCTATGGTCAAAGGAGCACGGCATGCGTTTACATGAGCACACCCACCCACCCACCTCCTTTCCAGGCAGCGGAGGCCATCTCGAATGCGGTGCTCGCCACCGCCAAGGAGATGGAGTCGAAGCCTCCCGGACAGGCCGATTTCTTCCCGACGCTGCAGTCCAAGATAGCCGAAACTCCCGAGATCACCGGAAAGTACGACTTCAAGACGAACACGACCGAGTACCAGACCGCGGCGAGGAGGTGGGGAAGTTGCCGAGCGCCCGCCAGGAGAATTTGGTGGACGCGGCGGTCGAGGCGGCCGTTGACTTGTTTTGCAAATGTTTATCAAGTGTAGTCATGTACTGTTGTTGCCTGTCCTTGCACACTGACTTTTGTTGCTTCTTTTTTTTTTGTTCATGTATTTTTTGCTGCCCCGAGAGTCTTGATAGTCCCGTCGACGTGTTTATTGCGCCGCTTCCTTCGAACATCCTCGTGTTTTCGAAGCCACCAGAAAAAAAAAAATGATGCATCGAAGTATACGCTGCTGTCGTTTTCTTCGTGTCCGGTATCTCCGAGGCCGTGGGAGATCTGTTGTCGCCGGAATTATGTGCTCTAACCATCGAAGGAATATGCCTCGTATTTGAGGACTGCGTCGTCCTTTGTCGAAGCTCTTCGCGTCCAGTCTTTCCGTTGCCCGTTTATTCCCCGCTCACGGATCCTCCCTGGCACCCCACCCTCTCACTCTCTCCCTCATTTCGATGCCCCCCCCCCCTGGCCCCCGTGCGTCTTTTCTCTTTCAGCGCGAAGAAGCTGTCGTCGACGGATTGGGTGGGGTTCGACCTCATCTGGAAGAAGCGTCTCGGCAACATCGCTCTCAAGGAAGCCCTCGAGACCCACATCAAGTTCGAAGAGGCAAGAGAAACGAGCTGCCGCAGTTTTCTTTTCGTTGAACGCTCTTCGTGTTTCGGAGTAGCCTGTGTAGCCAGTCGCGCCTCGCTCAAGGACACCAATATTAGGGAAACTCCCTCTCGGCTCAGGACAACTTTTTTTGTCACGGGCATGGTGGCTCGCAGAATGTACTTTACAACAGAAGGAGGGGTTATTAACCTTAAGGACTCTTCCCCGGCTTGCGGACGCATGCTTTAGCAGAAGTACGAGGTTTGCCCTTACCCGACGTTAGACGTGTGTCAATTTCACTTTCACATCATCGATGTCAGCGCTGAGTACGGTGACAGCCGAGGAACCAGTTCATGGCCAGAAATCATTTGCGAAAGCCTTCGAAGGGTCCCCCCCCCCCCCCCCCCCCATAGGCTTGATCGACACGCGTTGTCTACCTTGCGAAAGGGCGCAGCACCTCTTGCCGGTGGGGATGAAGGCAGCGACTGATGTGTACATGGACGGATGCACCAAGAAAGTATTGTTGGTTAGGCATTGGGCTGGGGCTCCGCGCCAATAGGAGACTTGTCGCCGCGGCAGCACCATTTTCTCGATCGGTCTCTGATGTGCTTTGAGTCAGGTGCCGGGCAGATTCAATTATTTTGGCTCGCACGCGATGCCAAATGACTACACCGGTTAATGCCACCATGGTGGGTTTTGACCTCCCCATGCCGGCGGCTTTGCAGGGTTGCGAGGTCAATGGTCTGACGACAACGGCATGCACGACTATGAGTATGAGTACACCCCCCCGCCCCCGGCATGCTCGCCTCGCTATATATGTCTATATAGGCGACGCTGAGGCTTGGCGAGGTCATCACCACCGATGAGCCGCTCACCAGCGTCGACGGGAACTACCGTCTCGAGATATCTGGAAGTGAGCGGAACGAAAATCTGAAATTGTTTCTTCCTTATTTATAAAATAGGTGCTTGCGCGCGGTCGCCAATAGTAGCGCTTTGTCTGGCACTACAATACTCCCGTGTCATCAGCGTGTGTGCGTCTACAATCTGGTACGTACCTGGTATGCACGTTCTACGTGTGTGTGTGCATGTCTGGCACTACTCGGTGTCAGCAGCAATGTGTGCGTCTACAATTTGGCACGTGCCTGGTATGCACGTACTACGTGTGTGTGCATGTCTGGCACTACTCCGTGTCAGCAACAATGTGCGCGTCTACAATTTGGTACGTGCCTGGTACACATGCACGTACTACGTGTGTGTGCATGTCTGGCACTACTCCGTGTCAGCAGCAATGTGCGCGTCTACAATTTGGTACGTGCCTGGTATGCACGTTCTACGTGTGTGTGTACATGTACGTGACGCACGAAGAAGGCGAAGGACTTGGAGAGAGTCGAGAGTTTGCCAGTAAACCACCCGAAGGTAGATAACACGCGCAAAACCAGCTGATGCGCACGCGCTCCGTCACTTGTTTGGCGTCCGGATCAACCCCTGCTACAAGGAAACCAAGCCCTCTCTTTCTTGTGTCCTGTCAAAAATACAAAAACAAAAACAGAGGCGCTGAGGGTCGTCAAGACTAGCACCGGCGCCGTAGCTGCAACCCTCTTCGAGGCGGAGGGCACGCTCGGCAGCAGCGCCAGCGCGCACATGGAGGAGAACGGGTCGTTCGTGCTGGACCTCACCATGATCACGGGCTTCGATCGCACGGAAACCCGGATGGTTCTCTGGGTCGCGCCCAACACGGAGTCCGGCAGCGGCGGCTACGCCAGGCGAGTCTTGCTTGCTTGTTTGTTTGTTGTGGCTTGGCTTATTATTGCCACAAAAATCGTTTTCTGTGTTCTTGTTTTTTTATCAAGGTTCAGGGAGGAAGCGGACCGTGATGTGTTGTAATTTGTGCGAAGATTTCATTTGCCATGACTTCTATTTGATTGACTTGTTCGGTTTTGGAAACGAACGAGATGTTCGGGAAAAAGCAATTAAGGAGCAGGTAGACCCCGGCATCGATCAGTGCACGCTTGCTTAGCCTCCGACCAAACCTTCCCTCTCGTTCCCGGCTTTTATTGTCGTGTCCCGCCGTGATCGCAGGATGCAAAACAATGGAAAGTTCGTCGTTTTCAACCGGAAGGGCAAGGCGCTGTGGTCCGCTGCTTCTTGAGGAAAACCCCGGGGGCATCGTTCGTTGTCGTCGTCAACCTTGCGGGGGCGCATAGATAGCTTTCGATCCGCCCCACGCTCTCAACCGCGTTGAAGTTCCTAGGCCGTGCCCGAGACGCCCAAACATTCCACCTGCCTACCTACCGTTTGCCGTTCACTTTTTTCGCTGCGGGGTGCGCCCACTGCTGCTTGCTTTGGACGGTAGGTAGTTTTGTGTGCTAAACAGCGGTTTCTTTGATACTAAGCCGACCTGCGAGGCTGTTGACGGTTGGTAATAGGTACGGTTGGGTTGAGCAAGACTGCCTGAAATACTTTTTTTCTAACCTGCACCACATCGATCGGCAGACATCATTTTTGTGCATATTTCGGGAGAGCCTGCTGGGTTGGCGCTACAACGTCACTTCGCTTGCTTGTGTTTTGCCCTTCCATTTTAATTTTTCTGCGCATACATCTCTTGCGTCCTCCCCCGTAGCCGGCCTGTTTGACGGGAATACCTGGACACGCGCAATCTGCGTGGCTCCTTCCTCCCTGTAGACATTGGTTTGCTCCCATCACCGCCTAGTACCAGGGGAACAAGCGACCAGACAGACTGTCCGCGTAGGTACGCAACGCTTGCCGTGCTGCATTGGAGACCATCCTATTTCCTCTGAAAAAGGAAGCTTCGATGGCGGTTCATGGAGATGTTCACTGCGATTTTCTCTGCATGTACGTGTCGAAAGTAGGAGTAGTCTTTCGGGACTCGGTGAGGATATATAGATGCATTAATTTCTGGCAAAGAAGGCTTCTCCATCAGTCTTAGTTTAAAAAAAATGTTTTTTCCCAGCCGTTTTCTTGTTCAAGCCTCCTAGACTACTGCTGTACGGTGTTAGTCTCCGTTGTTGTGGAAACTCTGAAACCTTGATTGATTCCATTGTTGACCCCATTACCCCCCCCCCCCCCCCCCCCCCCCGCGGCCTCCCCCTGTTCTTTCCCCCCCTGTTCCTCCCTTTCTTTTCCGGGGCCCCCGGGTTAGACTGGGATC